CTAGGCTCATAATAGTAAAGTATACAACAGATATTAGCTTGGGTATCTTCCAAAGTAGAGTAGCATAGAGTTATAGTTAACTTAGTAATACCATACTTGTGAACGTAAAATAGGGCTAGAGAGTTTAAAATAGATAATCTTCTAAGAGGTTAAAGGTATAGCAGCTAGTGTAGAACCTTCGAGTGGACTACTTAAAATAGACAACCTAAAATTATATGTATAGCTAGTTATACTCTCATAATAGGTATCATATTTCGTAACTATAATAATCTAATAAAAGTTAAGCTAATAGCATTTGTATTAAAAAAAAAAAAAATATAGTAAAATTTAAAAAAAGCTTTTTTCTTATTCTTTAACTCTTAATATATTTTTTGTTAAAAAAGAGTAGTATAGATTAGTATCACTAAAAAATTTGCTTAAAAGAAAATTATTTTACTATATTCATAATATAATAAATTTTAAATATTAAAAATATAATTAATAGAAAAAATTTGTATTATATGCAAGATTTAAATTTGAAAAACTTTGTATATATAATTTTAATTGAAATCTATGAATTAACTAGTGAAAATTCATAGTGTAATATAATACAGATTACTATATAGATCACTATATAATTAATATAGAAGTGAAAGTAAAATATTTTTATATTTCTTCTAAATAAACTTATTTTTTTACTAAGTAAATATTCTTTAAACTTTTAAGTAAAGTTGTAGAAAAGTTCAAGGCAGTTCTAATAGTTGTTAAAATGCTAAAATTAGTTTAGTAAATTATAAGATATTTACTAAATTAATTTTATTTACATATAAAATTTTTTATAAAAAAATTTTATATATAAATAAAGTTAATTTAATAAATATTTTATGATCTATTAAATTAAATTTAGTATTTTAATAATTATTAGAACTATCTTAGGCTTCTTTACAACTTTATTTTTATTTTTTGTTATTAAAGTAGCTTACATTGCTGAGCGAATTTTATTAGTTTGATATATGAGGTCCTACATGGGGTTCCCCTATAGTTTGTAATTACATGAAGAGTGTACAACAAGCTACATGTACAACTTTAGTCATTGTCTAATTTAAGTGGTCCACTATGCAGGCATTAGACTATCTGTTAGTACTACACTATGCTGCCATACCTGTAACCCACCTGTGAGTTACCTATTTAAATACTCTGTTTAACTAACTCATACCGTTACAAACTAATGTCACTGTAACATCTAACTGCTTATGCCAGCTAGTTTGTTGCAGATCCATTTATCGACTTCAGCTTAGATCCTCTCAGGTTACATTATACTCAACATATTGTGAATATCTGCAGAGCCAGTTAACTTCGAAGCATACCTACTAGAGCAGCCCATGCCTATTTCACAGACTCACCTAGCTTAGACCCTTGTGGATGTTCATACAACCTCAGTTCCTACTGTAGCTCTCCACTAGTATCATTTTGAGATCTCGCTGAGGCCTATCATGAGTTAGATCCTCCTAATTCAGTTAGCTGCTAAGCCAAGTTGGTGTAGCTGTAATATACAGTGATCCTCATTGTGATACAGACTTATACGCACCTAACCCGATTAAAGTCTTTAAGCACACTATTCTTCTGGATCAAGCGTTAGCCAGTGTGACCGTCAAAAGCTGTACTACTTCACCAACTCAGGATTTCTACTATGCAGGTCCCCTGCTCATAGATCCTATCAAGATTTATTCGTGTAACGTTATGTTTCTCCAAACGCCTCGTCATACTTCCAATATCCAGATGATATTAGTGCAACATGATTTACAGGGTTACAACCTCAGAAACGGACAGGGTTTACCGTAAGTTGAGTACAAAAGTCTGGGTAATTATTCAAATTCGTCGACAGTGGGATTTGAACCCCAGACCTCTTGCATGGCAGTCTGGCAACCTAACTACTACACTAAGATCGCTAGACCTTTTTTACAACTTTATTTAGAAGCTTAAAAAATATTTACTTAGTAAAAAAATAAGTTTACTTTGAAGAAATACAAAAATATTTTACTTTCACTATTTATATTAATTATATAGTGATCCATATAGTGATCTGCATCATATTACACTATGTTTATTTATAAATTTTCATTGATTAACTCATAGATTATCAATTAATATACATATTATTTCAATATATTATTTTTTTTCTTTTAACAGTTATATCATAAACTTTATTAAGTTGTTAACTGTGATTCTAATCAAATTATATATAATTATATAATCTACTTAACTTTCTAAATTTGATATTACCTAGCTACTACTAAAGTACTCAGATATAATCTGTCATACTAGTCTAATAGCTAGAACAATTTGTCTAACTAAATCAAGGAAAACTTTACTAACTTATTTCTCTCTCTCTTTGATTCCTTTTTTTATTACCTTATCTACTAATACTATTATTTAATTTTTTTTCTTTTTCTTTCTTTTTTCTTTTCTATAAGCAATATTTTTTTTTTTTTATTTGTCTGAATTCTTACTCTTGATATCTTTTACTTTGTTTCTTTTTAGCTTAATTATAATTTCTTTTTTCTTTTCTCAAAGAATTACTTTTTTATATTACTAGTTTTATATAATCTTTGCAAAGCTTCTTTGAATGATAAAAAAAATACTATATATTTAGATTCTTATTATATTTTTTTTCTAAACTAGTAGCTGAATATCTTTAGCTATTTTCTTTTTTTCTAATCTTTATTAGTTTTTTTTTTATTTAGAATTAGCTTTTTTTGTCTTTTAGAATAATAATACTTTAGCAAATTTAAACTATTAACTTTCTTAAATTGAAGCTTACTGATACTTTCTATTATTGCTTCTTTAATTTTTTCTCAAGAGTCTTATAGTACTATATATCTTATTAGATATTCAAGATCTTCTGAGATCTCTTCCTTGTATAGAATATAGTAATCACTTTTATATAAAAATAGCTTTTATTTTTTGAGTTTACTAAGTATTAGAAGGTTATTTATCAAGTATTTAATCTGCATAATAAGGCTTTTACTATTTTTTATTAACAGATAGTTTATTCTCTTTGTTTTTTAATTCTTTGCTATAGCTTTTTCTAATTATACTTTAAACTCTTAGCTGAATTATCTTTTCTTTAGTATGCTTACTCTATATTATTGTATCTTTTTGTAAGTTTTATTATAAATTGCTTAACTAAACTCTTGATTTTGTTTAATTTCTATACTATATTATAGTTAAAATTTTTACTTTTAACTATATCTAAATTTAAAAATAAACTTGACTTTTTGACTAGTTGATCTACTTCATTATTCTATTTATTATCAGTATAGCTTTTAACTTTCTTGAGCTCTAATTTAATACCTTTTTGCTTAACAAATAATACAATTTTTTCTAAGATAATTCTGTTATCTATTCTGATCTATTTACTTTATTGTTTAGTTTTGCAAACTTTAGTTATACTCTCTATTACTTACTCATTATCTGTGAGAACTCTAACTATTATATTATATTACACTAATAATAAAACTATCTAAACTCCTACTAGTTCTGTTTTAGTTAATATTAGCTAGTTAACAACTTTTAAATTTCCTATATTAACTATACTATTTTATATCTGATTTATTTTTACTCATCCTATATCTATATTTTCTCTATTATCTCTTTTATCTAAAGATCTATTTATATAAAATTCTATTTCCTTCCTTTTTCTTAAACTAATCTCTAATATTTTTTTCTTAAATATTGTTACAAAATCTGTATTAAAGTTTTGCTTTTCTATTATTTTAAGTTTATATTTCTTAACTGCTTTTAAGCTTGTAAAAAACTATTCTTTTTTCTTAGCTTCTTAATAGTTTCTAATCATAGCTATCGATCTTAGTAAGAAATCAATTGTTTCTGTTTCTCTGTTTATACAGTTTTTCAGAATTATTTCTAAGACCTTTCTTTTTAGTTGCTAAACTTTATATTTTTTATATACTTTTTCTCTATTGCTAATGCAGTCTTTATATTTCTTTATTTCTTTTTGCTTCTCTGCATTCTCTTTGTTTTTCTAATACTCAACTAGTATACTATCTTCTTTTTTCTTTTATACTTTTCCTATCTTTTTGCTTTTGCTGAGACTATCTTTATAGATGATCTACTCATATCTCCTTCTGTCTAAAGAAATTTCTTAAGCAAATTTGTATACCTAGAATAATTTTCATACTTGTTTTGAATTCATCTCTAACTTCTTTCTTCTCTTTGCAGATTAGCACTTGCTCTTCAATTTCTTTAAACTATATAGTCTTTTTACCTTTCTATGACTTCTTTTTAGCAGTTTTTGAGCTGCTACCATGTTATTAAATATGATCCTTCTATATCTAAGATTTGTTCTAGCAATAATTTATATACAAATACTAAATAATTTTAGCTTACTATATTTTTTGTACTAAAAATCTAATTAAAAAAATCACAATCTACATAGTATAAATTAGTTTTTCGAAATTTTTTTCATATTTAAGATACCCTTCTTTCAAAGATGAATTTCACAGAAAGTTTTTGCTCGTGCACATCTAACAAGCTATTTTTCACATCAAGACCTTGAAAACTCCAGCGAAAGAAAGCAAAATAATTGCTCATCTTTGAAGGACTATACCAATTATACGGTTATTATACCATCGTATATTAACGCCTATGATACAAACATTTTGCTAACCAAAATAATTTTCAGAATATAAGAAAAATCAAAATATCTGCATGATCTAAAGATTACCGGTAAAAGTAGATATTTACTACCGCTACTATAAAATTAAGCCGATCAAAACACACAGCCTTTGTGGTACATATCGAGATATTCTAAAATTGGTAAATTGGTAAATTACTTTGTTTGTCGTTACGTATTTTAATTGATTAATTTATTTATGTATCAAATAAAATTTTTTACATAAATACATTGGCTTGAAAAAGAACACATAATTTAATATAATATATTTCTTTCAAATTAACATTTGTACAAATTTACGTTTGAACGTAACCGATAATATTTTCAAATGTCGGTTTCTACAACTTATATTCGATTTAATGCTCGATGGTCAAAAAGATCAAAACGTGCAAGATGTTTAAAAAGTTTTGCGTTATTCAGGACGTTACTTACCTTAACAGTTTTTGCTGGTATAACTTTTATTATGATCTGTGATATTAGACTCAATGTTAGGGTTTATATGAGAGATTGGATTACGCATGAAGAATTTAAACATGAAAATTTAAGCAGATGTTTTGATAACATTCCTAATAGACCAGAACCAACAATCCTTTATAATGATATTCTAACTAACATACCTCTCACATATGGTTGGGATTGTTACGATTTTGCCAAAAGTATAAAGTTAAAGCCTGGCCAACCTCGAGAACATACAATCTACCATGCTTATTGGCGTGCAGATCTACGACCTTTTGGTGATAAACAAATCGCTACGTTAAAATCTTTCTTCGCTACCCAGGATGAAAAATTTTCTTCACTTATTCTTTGGACTAATGGAAATATTTCGACTAATCCATCTCTTAAACCATTATTTGAGCGTTATTCCAATCGATTCGCAATAAAATATTATGATGTGATTATAGAAAGTAAAGGAACTCCTATGGAGAGTTCACGAAACCTTCAGCTTAATGATAAAAAAGCATATCTAGATGGTGATTTGATTCGACTCCTTGTTTTATATAAATATGGTGGAATATGGTTTGATATGGATTCACTTTTTGTACGTGACTTTTCTCCGCTCATAGAGCAAGAATGGCTTGGCCAATGGGATTGTTTTATGCCAAAAGGTTATCCTTTTAACGGTGCTTTTATGAGATTTCGAAGGAATTCTCCATATTTATGTGAATTTCTTTCTGAAATGGCTAGTGGTCCAGCTCCTAGTAAATCTTCAATTGATTGGGGTGGAAAACTTTATTATAAAATTTTTAGGCGTTTAATTCAAAATGGAAAGAAACCATTTGGAATGATTCCTTGGTGCTTTACTGATTCTCATTTATGTAATCCGTTTAATTCGATGCCTAACGCATTTGAAGAGGCGAAATTCGATAAGGAGAGATTATTACAAGTATTTGCATATCATTGGCATAATCAATGGGATAAAGAAAAAGGAAGTTTATTTAAATTTCTGGAACAAAGGAATAATGAAATTCTAGGATTTTAGTTCCATGTCCTCGATGCTTCCCACCAGTGTTGGAAATCTAATGTTCTCAGCGTTCTGAGAATATTAAAATATCTTTTGAGAGAACATAAAATTTTAATTTTTAATATATTAATAGTATTTCGAGAACATAAAAATTTTTTAAATATAGTAAAATTTTATTAAAAGAACATAAATTTAAAATTTATGTTCTCAAAAAACTAAAAATTTTTTCAGATTTCCTTCACTGCTTCCCACTAATATTTCATGATCGTAATTATCGTAGTTTAAATTTGACGGCGATAGAAAATGATCATATCGATAAATATTACACGGGATGATATCAAGAATATTCGCCTGGAGTTTTTTTTGGAAAACTTCCGTAGGGTCAGAAAGCTCGGTAGAATATAGGTGCGGCATTAGTAAAAAATGAGGACTGATGTATTACGAAAGTCGTAATATATTTTTTATTGTATTAGAAGTGGAAAGTTCGAAAATAAAAATACTAATAAAGAAAATCGCTGGACGTTAAAGTCCCGAGAATGTTATCAATCTGTTGTATGTAATTTATAACGATACGGAAAATTCGATTTTAAGGTTGTAACATTGAATTTTTTACTACGAATGTACTAGATAAGATGATTTTTTTTGACTAAAAGAGATATAATTTTATTTAATATTACTCATTTATTGTCGCTGAAATTCCGATAATGCTGAATTCTCGATTAAAATTTTAACTACATTTATTTAATATATAATGGCCATTGCTATTTGTACCTTTCACTTTTACCGTCACCTATAAAGTGCAAGGATAACGATGACATTTAAAACATAATTTCCAATTAAAATTTGCCTTCGCTCAAGTTCACGTATCAGCTTTTCTCCTTACTACACAAGCTCAAATTACAAAAAAATCGCCTCCGGGGACAATAGGGGTAAAATCCTTATTAAAACCTATCATTTTCCTCTTTCTCAATAAAATTATTGGGTGCCACACAATTTTCATAACAAGTGGCTAAAATAATTTTTTTACATGGGAGGGGGGTATAAATAATAATTTACATTAAAACAAAAAACAATAGTCTAATTAATTAATGCAATATAATCATATCTTGTTCATTATATCCCATCTCAAGCAAAGCTTGTTCAACGGTAATTAACATACTAGATGGACCACAAACAATAATTTTTCCTTGTATCGGATTAATCCTTTTTCCCAAATTTGCTAAATGAGGATCAATATTTTTAGGTATCTTTGATTTTCTTGTTGATGCAGACCTAGGTCCTATATCGACTATACTGTCTTCGTCATATATTTTGTTATCATCAAAATGTACAAGTGGAACGCTTGATTCTGTCGGAAAATTGGAAATTTGTGACGCTTCATATTGCGGCTGAATAATTGGTGATTGAGGTTTTATAATTGGCGATTGAGGTTTTAGAAGTGGCGGAATACTCTGATTCTGCTCGTTCGCGTCACGCCGTATAGAATGACTTTGAAGAATGTTCATATAGTTGCTATCTCCTGCCGTAATCTGAGACTTGTTTGGTGATAAGAGATATCGACCTTTCATCGTATCTATCCAATCTTGTATTATTTGTTTATTAATTCTTCCTTGTAAACCATCCCAATCTGAAGGCGGTTCCGAGAGACAGTATGTTACAGTAAGTTGTCCTCGACTAGAAAGCGCAAGGTCTTCAAGTAATATACCATCGACAACGTCTTCAATACTACGGTTTCCAAATAGTAAATGCATTTGTTTATATCTAACATATTGACCAGCATCGTTTTTTCGTTTCATTGACTGTTCCAAATAATGCTTGATTAACTGTTATAATCAGTGTTACAAATATTAAATTATTATTATTATCACTATTTTTAATGCGTGAGATAATGTGATTACCTGTAACATTGGTGTTATTCCGGAACCACCTAAAATCGTGAAAACATAACAGATAATTTTTATCAAAATACTGACAATATACATGTATAACATTTACTAATTAAAAAAAATACCGGCAATCATATATAATTCGTCCCAACAACCATCTTGACTATCTGGGTTTAATAAAGAAGTCTTTGCAGTAGGGTTTGCATGAGTTCGTACGGGTGAAAGGATTGCATGGGTTCGTATGGGTGAAAGGATGCTGCGGCCAGAAGATAACGGCTCCGGTAGTGTAGATGCAGCATATGGCTTGAATCTATCACCAACATCAAATGGACCACGTGCTTGAATTTCATATCCTATGAGCTGTTCGCTCTAAAAAAAAAGATAGCCAATATATGTTATAGTGTATTTAAAGAATAATTGGAATTATTATGATTATGATTTTTTTTTTTAAAAAAAACGAATATATACTGTACCAAATGCTGTGAAAAGAGTCCCCTTGGATAAATTTTGACGTAAATGGAAAATGACTTGGATAAACTACCTTCCAAAGGAGTGTAACTTCTAATTACAATTTGGCCATTTACTCTAGATTGCACTTCAATGTAATGTCCAGGCAAGAATTTTTCAGTACTAATATCTTTTGCACCTTGATGAACTATAGAAAATGTAAATCTAATCACAGGATATTTGATATTTGCATTAATCATTTCCTTGCTAGTAAGCTTATAACGATGAAATTTGATACTTTTTTTGGTACTCATAAATGTTCCATCAATTTCAATAGAATCGGTTTCTCGAGTTTGATAAATAGATCCATCACCTTGAATAAAAGGTCCTTTTTCGCTTGCATTTTCTATAACTTTTCCTATAACCATTGTTGCCATTTTCTGTGTGGCAAACCTACTGTGAGTATGTTGTGCCAATGGCTCCCTTAAATAGAATTTTACATTCATATTATCGACAAATTTGGCAACAGACCGTCTTTTTTGAGGTCGAGGTGCTGGTCTTCCTCGAAGATGATTTATATATTTTGCGAGCATAGATGAATGACTTCCATAAGCTGTATCTTTTTGAATCAATAAAACATCTAGAGAATCTAAATCTTCAACAATTTTTTGGTTTTTGTGTGTATTATAAAAATCTATAATGGAAAAAAATAATCATTCATTTATTTATACTTTAACTAATAAATATATAATTAAACAAATATTTGCAGTAATTCTTACCATCTGTAATATCTGTTCCAATAACCTATAACAATAAACCATAAAATTAATTGTAAGTATCAGAATTCAATAATAATAATAATCTTGGCGAACAAAATAAAAAATTTATTATATATTTACACGTAATAATATTTGACTCCCTCCTATTATATTAGAAATTTATACATTAGTATCAAAATATATGCGAAAAATAGCTGCCTGAAAAAAAAACCCGACCTGGGTGGGAACTACACCAACTGCGAATATCTACCACAAGTCCATCGCAAACGACCAAATAAGCCTAAATGATAAGTAATATGGGTTAGAGCATGTAACTCAAATAAAAATGATAAATTTTAATAGTCTTAAATTTATAATTCGACCTACTCCACACTGAACTCTTTCATTAATTTCTTCCCAAGTAAACTCGGGTAATTTAGTATACTCTTTATGATTAATATGAGTATGCATCATCGTTTTTTTTTCGGCAATATCCTCATCTTTAACGCAGAGGAATCGTTGAAATAATCCTTCAAAACGCCACCAAATCTCACCAAGTAAGAAAATGGTAGCTATTATAAACATCCAACAACCATAAGTAATTTTCCACCAAAATGTGTTGCTATTTGCAATAAAGATTTGCTAAATCAAAAAAAATGACAATATTATAGAAAATTTAAATATCCTAAATATGAATTAGAAAACTTACTAGCCGTAAGAAAGGCCATATGTGTCAATTCCTAAAAATCAATAAATAATCGATTAGATATATTTTAAATTTTTTGATACAATTAATCCTGTAATCACCAAGATATATATTAATCCTATAATTTTATATGGATTTATAAAAAAATATATTTAATACAAACAGAAATTAAACAATAATAACAGCAAATAAGTGATTATATAACAATGTTTTACCATGCTGTTAATAATAGAAACAAACCAAATATTTTATGAAAGCGTTTTGTAAATCTTGGATAGCCCTATTAAATAATTCAATATGATGATTAACCAATTCATTAAACAAATATGTGAATGGTCAAAATTTTAAAACAAACCTTATTAACTGATACCACAGAAGTTTGTCCCCATATAGCAATTAACCCAATGCCTATGAAAGTATTCAACAATTAGATTGAATTTAAAAATAAATCAATTATCAAGATTATATTCAATTTAACAAACACCTAATTCAACAAATGTTAAAGAATATAAGATCAATCCTATCCTAAATTTTGCAATCATTAATATAAAACAAATAATGGTAAAAGCATAAACATAAGGATAAATATATAATAATACCAAGCATGTGGTGTTTGTGTCGTCGTCACTGTAGAAATAGCAGCAGCACCAAATGATGAAACTGAAATACCACCAATCAATTGTATAAGTCGATGAATTTTAAGGTGATGAGTATAATGCTATGAACAATAATTTCAAGTTAGAATAAATGGATTGGTTTTATATGAAAAAATCAAACTAAATCAGATATTAGATAAAACAAACATACCTTTAAGTATCGAACAATAAAGACTGATGCCGGAAATAGTATGCTATAATTATAATATCCCGTCAGATAATTATCCAGCAAAATAACTATTAATATGATAGCAGAAAAAGAACGATTTATTTACCACCATGTAAAGAACATTCCACAGCCATGAACTACTCTAATAAAACTTTGAAGTTTAGCTGTAGTTGCAACACTAATTTCACTATTATAAAAGTTCACTAGAACCAACATTCGATTATTTTGGTGGTAAGAAAAGGCATTGCTATTTGGATTATAAGCCATAATATCTGTATATATAATAATAAGTTAAATTATAGGTTTAACATAAAAAATGAATAAAACAATTAATATAAAAATTATATCGCACATTTCATATCGCCATGCACAATTGGTTTTCTTCCTGGAGGATTGAGTAGTCTTTTGAACTCTACGGTCACAGCTTTGGCATCAGACATAGAAGAAGATGTTGGCACAAGAGTCGGATCCTGGTTAGAATCACGAAGGGGAGGATGGTAGCCACCTACATCAGCATGGTAATTTGCTAATGTAACGTTTCCGTTAGTAACCTTCGATTAAAAAAATTTTTTTAGATGCAGTGGTAAAGCTTCCTTACAAAATACAAATAGTAAATTTTGATAATACTTACAATTCCAATGATAAATTCAGCACCTGTCATGCCGTTATCTTTCGGATCAAATCCCTGTAAAGTTGAATAATTACAGATAAAATAACAGTATATTCAAAAGTCAATAATTAGAAATAGTAAAATAACATATAATAAACTTACCATTCCAAACCAACCATTGCCATTAGAAGTTTGAAGTTGAACCTTGAAATATACATATGTCAAATCAACCCTATAACTCACAACATATTGAGTCCAACTACTAATCTTAGTCGGATAAATATTGTCATCACTACTGCTAAGTTTCGTTTGAGGTTGAACGGACCAAATATTTTGAGGGAAAGATACACTTTGATTTATGTTACGAACAATGATATCCCTGAGAGTAGTGTTTCGTAGGATAATTTGTTCATCAGAAGTGAACATATCAGACTTCTCGAACCAAAAGTTATCAGAATCTCTAATATAGGTGTACTTTTTTTTAAAAAAAAAAATAAAATAAAATAAAAATCAATTAAAAGTAAAAAAAAACACAACCGAAACATATAGACATGATTACCTGCGTCACCATACTCGCATTCATGACCATGCCAAAATTTGCACCATCTAAATGGTCTTCACTCATCACTCCAACCCATGCTTCTACAGTTTCAATTCCTAAAAACGAAAAGTATAAATGAATAGACAATAGTTATAATAAGGCTCAAGAATAATGCCGAAAAAATAAATATACAAAGAATAATTATATTAACCATTAGGATAGATTTTAGCCAAGTTTGCTTGAATATTAGCTTTTGAGGAAATGTCAGCAAACGACTGAGCTTTGGGAAAACCAAAATATTGTCGAACTACATTATATAAAGGAATGCCTATGATAGATAAACATTAATAACAAATAAGAAAGTTAAAAGAAGATACAAGAAATTCGAGAAATGAGAATGGAACGGGACAAATATCTTACCACGATCTCTACTTCTTTCAATATCAAAGGCAGCTATATCATAAGTATTATGATCAGGTGCAAGAGCTTTTTTAGTAGAATCGGCTAAAAAAATATCAACTTCTTCCTGACGTTGAAGAACTATAGACCATAGTACTCTTTCTAACCCAAATGTCTCCAAAAGTGAGAGATTTTTAATATCGTTCAAAGGTAAATTATAAAGGGTATTATCATATTCATCTTGAATTTGGTAAAAATCACTAAATGAATTCAAGAGAATCTATTAGACTATTGTATTATACCTTTTTATTTTAGATTTATTTTCATTTTTTTAAAAACCTTAATTCACTATGACCATATCGAAAAGTAACAGTTGCGAAAAATGCATCAACTCCTATCAATATATAAATAAATTAGAAAACCTGTATTAAAAAGACATGACATTATCGAAACACTTCTAACCTGGCACAAGATTTGGATTATAGTTTTGGTAGGCTGGTAAAGGACGACCAAGAATAGCACCAATATATTCCTCAGAAACAGCTTTTTGATAGAAAGCAATAGTCCAACGTTTCTAAAATAAAAATTATCAACAACCGACTAATTTAACAAATTAAAAAAAAAAAAGAATATAGAAATGAAGACTCACTGCCTCCTGAAAATATTGTTCATCAGTCCAAGAATTACCATGTTTATTATACAATTCTTCACATAATCTATTATGTTCACGTATCCAGATTGTCTGAATGGCCAAAGTAAATATACTATACGAACGTTCCGAAGTTGAGCCCCAAATATATGAACCATCAGAAGAATTTTTTGGAGGATAATCTTCACCATTTACAGTATAAGTCTTAAGTTTTCCTTTATTAGTTGAAGTATCCCGAAGCCTATTCATCGCGTCCTGATCACTTATACCATAAATATTGTTTAGATCAAAAAAGGGAGTAACATTATTTATTCCACTAAGAAGAGGATTTCGAGTTGCTGGATTAGTGTCATTATTACCATCGGAACGATTAGCAGGTAAAAAAGGTACATTGATTTGGTATGGAGAGATAGTAGAGTTTGGATTTGGATTGTAAAGTGGATCATCAGCAGGTATAAAAATGGGGTAAGTTGGATTCGTGTTCTTTGAAGAAGTTATATCAAATGAAATATATTGGCCAAAAAAGGTTGCCTAATAATAATACAAATACAAAAATGAATAGAATTAGGAAGCTATTTATCACATATTCACGGATAACTTACGAAATGGCTAGTCCGCCTGAATGAACGATAATTTGACAATGTGTTAACATTATAAGGTTGAACATTATAACTACACATTATATTTGATATACATCGTGGCATAGGATATAACCCAGAAGATAAGTTATCAGTGCATTTTATAGTTGTCGGTCCGATCGGGTTTAACCCAAGAGAATCAGTGGGCGACGTAACGGGAGAAGAATTCTGACTGGATTACGAATTAAGAATTACTAATTGAATGCATTAAATCAAGTAAATCAAAGATTATAGATTGAATACTTGAAATTCAATGAACTAATGGCTCTCAAAAAAGGTTGATGAGGAGTTCCAGCGGTCGGATTTATAGCATTGTTGTCGCTACCGTCAATTAAACGAGATTCTACGATAATGCACCAAAACAACAATGAAAAACAAGTTATAAAGAGAATTGTCATTAATATCTGAGAAGGCATTTCCCAATCTTTTTTTAAAAAAATTTTTTTTTTTTTAATAACTAGGGAGATAATGAATGCTACTCTATAAGTACGCCATATATGATGCAGGTTTTTACTTTGCGACACTAGTTAGCATGCATGAAACTAACCTAATCGGAGATAGTTACCGATAGATTATAATAAGTGCATCTACTTAACTACTGTATGTCATTATTTAAAACTACGGCTGTTTTTTCTGACCCCTTATAAATCTCATACGTACAAACAAAATACGTATAAAAATAAACCTATTTCCAATTTTTGTTATATAAATTATTTCCTAAATAGGCCCAGACAGATCGTTACCTAATTCTGTAATTGCAAAAATAGTGTTTGTTTATTTTTACAAATAGTATTAATCTATTTTGATAGAGTTTGAAACCGGATTATTTAATTATGTATGTGCGTACATACAAAAGCATTCGACTACCTAAAATTTACCATTCATACAGCAAGCATTGCAGATTCTGTAGATTTGGTTTTATATTCGAATTTAAATCAGTAAATTGAATCCGAAGGTCGAATCGAAGCAAAAATTATTATTTACTCCATTTGACAATTAAATGACAATTAATGACTTGATTAAGCTATAATAACTTAGTGTTTGGAGCCATGAGTCATTATTTATTAATTAGTTATTAGGTAATCTAAAGACAACTATAATACTAACCATTATGCCCAGGAGTAAAATTACAAAATTTGGCCTTAATTCGGGTCAAAATAACGCCCATGCCAGTTATTTTGAGAAATTACGGTATTAGTCTCTATGCAAGATGAGCTTATAGATAAATTAAATCAAATTAACAATTTAGTCGATGACATTCAAGTATTATTTGATGCTATACTCTCTCTTGCAGAATTTTTGACTAAAGATTCACTTATTTCGTGCATTTAATCAATAATAGATTTATTATTGAATACGTAAAGACTACTGTATTCAATTCGTTTTACTGATTATAGTAATAGATTATGGTAAGCCACTTCTAAGGGGGTACGTATTTAAGGGCATCGCAAGAAACAATTAGTATAAATAGTATTTGATGATGACAACACGTTTAAGAGTAGTTCGGCTCTGAAGGGTGCTTACATATAAAGTATATATATATACTTTAAAGTAAATCTGTCTTGAGCTTCTAAGTAAAGTTAGAGACTATTTTTCTCGTTCTAATGATGGAAAATGATCAAAAACGGTCTAGTAGATCTCGAGATATTTGCGTTTTTAATTTTTTTACTATACGATTTTTACTATTTCGGCATTCCAGCTCTATATGAAAGTATTAGTATTACTGCGCTGATTTTTATACCCTTTAACTGCGGACTACCTCTTAAAATTTGTTTTTTTAGAAAACTTTTACTAAATGTACAGTAGCCAACAAAAGTAACGCCCGATGATCAATTTTATAATAAAACATATAAAAAATTTATATAATATATGGGTGCCGTCAAAAGAAAACCTGGCATCGGGCTTTCAAGTATATTTTGTGTACAGATCGTATCCTGTGTTCCATCTATAATAAATCTATCATCGGACATTTAATTATATTTTTTGCCGGTGTAGAAGGCAAATCTGACTATTCCGGATGTACTACCTTCCGACGTAGTACCATGCACGATTTCTTAGATTTCTGTTATTCTTGATTTCCATTATTTTTATTATTTTTGTTTTAGTATCGATCTACAAAATCGAAAGGATAATCGTTATTAGTATTATTTCCTAGATAATAGCGAAACTGTAGATAAAAAGTAAATTAGTTATTATTAGGATAATATATATCTTTTATATCCTTCGAATATTTTTATATGTAAAATTTATCTATATAAGCAGCGCAAGCTGCCTCAATAAAAAATTAACTTTGACAGAGTTCAATTAAGACTCCAATAAGTTCGTTGGTTATAAGTCTAATACTTCGAAATTCGAGTAGAAGTATTGTGACCTTGTTTCCTCATTTGTTAAAAATATCTATTCATTGTTAAAACCCCACCTCGTGATAATCAAGTTCCCGATCAATTTAAACAATAAGTTAATCACCCCTTAGTTAGTCTTATAGATTCCCATTGTTAGAATCAATAACCAATCGGATCGAAATTCAGATCACATGCCACGTGGTAAAGTAAAAGTATAAAGAAACCGAAAGACCAAAACTGAAATTACTAAAATACAAACCCAAGAAAAAGATAACACTCACCTCAAAGCAATCCACCTTGCAAGCCTAAAACCCAGACCAAATCCTCCACGACCTCTTTCAGCCTGCCAACTTAGAGTTGATTGTTGGATTAGTAGTGTTTGTTTGTTGACTTGTTGAGCTACAAATCTAGGTGTGACCAAGAACCTCCAGACAAGTTCCGTACCAGAACCAGTTCACACCTTTTCACCGGACATACCTCCTGAAAAAGCTTGCAGTAATTATTGTATTATTACAAACTGTGTCACGAAGATGCAATAACGATAACGATAAATTTATTTATTCGACATTTTATATGACAATGTGAATTTTTTCACTATGATATTTTTTGCATGAAATTACGTAAACAGTTTTGCAAAATATCACAGAAAAAATTTCACATGGTCATATTAACTATCCAATAACATCATTATTGAACATATATACGACAAATAACAAGTAATTTTTTTTTCATTAGAGTTAATTTCACTCATGTGCTGATTACATAGCACATAGAGTGACTTAACTCTGACAAAAAAAAATTGCTTGTTTTTTTTTGTTGTCTGCTCAATAATGTATACTTATACAGCATATTGTATTTAAATTTCTGATTAGATTTTTCAAGGGTATGTCTAGTACAAGATATCAGGAATGGTATATCATAATATTGGATATTTGGACAATTTGGATATTTGGACATTTGGACAATGTCCAATTGTGCAAATAATTTGATTGGACATAGTAAATTTTTTTATTGGACATAAAAAAAAAATTAATTTAATTTTGATCTAAATTAAACTTAATTTGACTATATTCACTAATACAAAATATTCTAATCTATGTTATATATTAATATATATTGCATTGTTTATAATTAGTATCTAAAAATCAAATTTATGATATAAGGTAAAGTGAGTAATTCAGTATAGATAAAAAAGTAGCAGATCAAATTATATTGAAGTTTACACATAATTTATTAATAATGCTTATACCATTTGATTCATCACACCTAGACGAATCAAATGATGCAAAAAAAACCAAATTCTACAAGTATTCTTTAATAAAGTGTAAGTAATATTATATACTAATAATTATCTATAAACTATGTTTTCTATAAAGTGATTGTTAGTGAAATAATACGAATATAAATTCACTTATTTATTATGAGCTGATTATTTCAAAGATCAGATAACTATTTTTTTTTTAATATACAGTAGCATACTTGATTAACTAATTTTTATCTTTTCAGATTATATACGAATTTATAGAATTTAAAAGCTATAACTAATATGTTAGATAGCCTAAATATAAATAGAAGCCAGTATAAGAAGATTACATATATTGTTATAAAATGAGTTTCAATTATTTTATCTTATCATTTTATTTATTATTTTTATTATTAGTATTTTTATAAATAGTTAGTTTCTTGAATGTACTTTATTTCATTATATTGCTTTTACAAATAACTTAGTAGTCACAGATAGATTTAGACTTTACCATTAGATCCAACTCAAAGAGACCTTTCGAACAAGCTATGTTTCATAACTATAGAACTCATAGTTTTAGAGTTGTCTTAGAAACAACTTAGAAATGGTTACTGTTCTTACTGTTCTTACCGTTCTTACCATTCTTACCGTTCTTTCTATATATATTTGATATGCTCTATTCATATATGTTGGATGATAAGATATCTTACTCCTACACTTTAGGTCGTGAGGTATTTGAGACTACGGATTAGAGTTTGGGATTACTTATGCCTACTCGTTTGGATCGTGGATAATCCACGCTTAACTTTTCTATGTTAAGGTTCATAGTAAGCTGCTAGCTGTTAGAGTCTTTATACCTACGCTTTGGCTTGTGAGGTACTCGTTCTTTAGGTATTTCTATTCCTGAGAGTTGCAGTAAGCTGCTAGCTTTAATTAGAGTCTTTACGTCTACAAGTTTGGCTTGTGGGGTACTCATCCTTCAGGTGTTCCTAACCTGAGGGTTGCAGTAAGCTGCTAGCTAATTAGAGTCCTTACGCCTACAAGTTTGGCTCGTGAGGTACTCGTCCTTCAGGTGTTCCTAACTTGGGGGTCGCAATAAGCTGCTAGCTTTAAAGTAGATATAAATAGGTATAGTCTGAGCCTAAATTCAACTTTGAAAAGTCTGTGTAATGTAAAATAGATCTTCCTTAGTCTGGGTCAATATAGGGTGATTTTTCTCTTTTCATATTACAGTGTGACATAGATCTATTCTAGAAGTTGTAGATCTCTTTTTCGGAGTTCGTATAATGTAGACCAGATGTGACGTAGATTGGGATCAGCAAAAGATGAAAAAGAGGCTTCTTGGTTTCTAAGAGAGGCTTCTTTAGGGATCGTCAGAAGGGAAAAGAGAGGTTTTCTTTAACTTTAAGAAAGGTTTCTTTAGGGCTTCTTTAAAGTTTCTTTAATTAATTATCC